CTCATGAAGGCAAACGGATGCGCGCGCACACACACACACACAGGCTATCCGTGGGACACAACAGATGTCTGTGGGAAAATCAGTCCCCCATGTAAAATAAAGACGGCCGGATGTGATGTCACAGCTTTGACAACAGGAAATACCCACAGGGACAAAACACAGAGGAATCACTCAGAACACACACACACACACACACACACACAGTCTCCTGGCTTCAAGCCAAGAAGCATCTGAGAAAAGAGCTCATCAGCGGATGCACGCGACCACGGGTCATGCGCGCGTGCATTCAAAGCCCGGGGTTGCTTGAGGTTGAGTCTGTAATTATGACCCTCGACGGCAGCTGATCTATCAGTGCGCTCCTCACCACGGCGTATATTTACGTGTATGTGTGTCACACACCTGTCTCCATCTGCACACTTAAAGACAGATTAGGTCAGCTGGAGGCCAAGGATCTTTGGCAAGGATTGCAACCGACTGACCTACTAATCAGTGTTTATATCTGTGAGTGTGTGGTGTTGAAAACAGCTGCCAGAACTGGTGCAGCTTCACCGCAGAAACAACGAAAGATGGTCCAAGCAAAGCAAGGGTGAATTAGGCAAGAAAAGGCATTAAGCCGTTTTGCCCCACTGGCAACAATTGTTGCCAAAGTTTATCACTGTCATTTTCGACTCACAATAAAAAATCTCAAAGGTACTAATGCAACTTTTTCCACTTATATGCTAGTAGACAACTTAGACAAAGGTTTTGATTTTTAAAAAATCGTTTCCAAGTGCTTCCTATCGCATGACATCATCTGCTTCCCGCTCTTTCTGGCTGAAGACATGGCGGATGCAAATCATCCTGGAAAGAGGTAATTTTCATAAATTTCTTATGACTTTCCCCCAAACATATTTATAATTATTTAATCATTCAAGTCTCTAGAGTAACCCTCCCCAAAAAAATTGTACCTAGGATAAATATTTTTTTGTTCATGGGCTTATTTCTGTGAGTGGCAACAAAAGTTGCCAGTGGGCACATAGCATGTCGCTAACTAAAGGAAAACACTGTCTGCAGGATTGCTCCTAATTTACTTATTTAAAATTGTAGAATGATGTACAATGGCTCATTTTAGTCCTTTTAGAATAATTCCTAGCTAAATAAATTCACAGGTATTCAAGGCCTCTGTGTATAGGATTTTTATACATTACCATACATCATTTTCTTGCTAGCTAAAATTCGCTTGCTAGCTAACATGTATGTTGTCCTTTCCTTAGGTACACCGTAGCAGAGATCCTGGCCATGCTGCAGGACTCTGAAACTGTGGCGGACATCACAGTTGTGCCTGAGTCAGAAATGCACGCACATGACACAGACTGTGACAGTGACCAATCTGATGATGAGGCCACTGGTGACCATAACCGCCTCCCATCAAGAATACTCAAAGGTGAAGGCTTTCTACCTAATTCGGACATGCAGCTGCCAAATCCCCCGATGATGATCCTGGGTGCTCATCCTCAGTGAGTCAGACAGAGACTAGAAAGGTCAGTGGCACAAATGAAAATGTGACCAGTCAGATTGTTGGGCCCATGCTCCACAAAACTAAGAACCAAGACAGGAAATTCAAAAAAATCAAAATTGCGGCCAAAGCACCAGCACAAGCCAACAAAAAATATCAGATCCCTCGCTATGTCCCCAAAGAACATGATCCTGGCTTCACATCAGATGATCCAGTGGATATCTTCCTCACATTTTATCCCAAGTCCCTCAGAGATGTCACACTGGAAATGTCCAATCTCTACGCTGAACAAAAAGGGAAAACGCTCAACCTGACTGAGGATGAACTTCTTACATTCTACGGTATTCTGTTGATCAGTGGATACAACACAGTCCCAAGGCGGCGTCTTCTCTGGTCAGACGATTGTGATGTCAGCAACAATGCTGTAAAAGATGCCATGCGGAGGAACAGGTTTGATGAAATTATGTATATAAGAAGACACCCAGAGGAGATGCTGAGTATCTGGTTGAGGCAGAGAAGCTGATTGTAAGGTGGAATGACAACAGCGTGGTCACCGTGGTGTCGAACATGGAGAGGGAGTTCACCGAAACTGAGGCGAAGAGATGGAATAAACAGAAGCGGACTATGGACAAGGTCAGACAGCCCAAGTGTATCCAGGACTACAACACACACATGGGAGGAGTGGACCTGCATGACCAGTTTGTCAGCCGCTACAGAGTCAACATCCGGTCCAAGAAGTGGTGGTGACCATGCTTCAGCTGGGCCCTGAACAGTGCCATGGTGAACAGCTGGTGCTATTACAGGTACACAAGGCTGTATGTTATTTAGTGATATCACAATCGAGTTGGTGATGTTTGACTCGAGGTCATCGCTAGTGCTCTTCGGTCGACAAGAGCAACAGTGATGATATCCAGACCAACATCACAAACTCAAGTGTGATATTGCTTTTACAGAACATTCTACATATGGGGCATGACGTTGTAGAAAGGATGAAACGATGCACATTCATGCATCTATCATGCTTGTTTTGTCATTCATTTAGGTCCTGGAAAAGCGGGGAGAAGGATCTCCTCTCCTTCCAGAGGCTGGTAGCCCAGACCCTCCTCCTGCGCCATGGAACAAAGCCAAGTAGGCAGGGCAGAAGATCTTCAATGGCGGTGGCGATAACTGATGCCACCAGGTTTGATAATTTGAACCACTGGCCCTGCAACACTGGTAGCAGGTACAAGCGATGCAAGAACTGCGGTGGACGCACATCATTTGCGTGTGGAAAGTGTGATGTGCCACTACATGTGGAGTGCTTCAAGAAGTACCACACTGAGTAGAACATGCATGAAAGATGATGGAATGTATGGGAAGAAATATGTTATATATGTATATATGTTTTTAGAGGTTCTAAGAAAAAAATGTTTGTTGAGTTTTTGAGTATAAAAAAATTGAGAATAAAGAAATCAGTTCAAATTGTTTGATGTTTTGAATTTTATACAGGGGGAACCTGAGGCTCCACCTTTTTGTTATTATTTATTATGACTATATTATTATTTTGTTCTTATTATATTATTATTATTACTTCTCTATTATTATTATTAGGTGACATTTGACCTAGTGACAAGCTGTGTGACTACTGGCAACAATTGTTGCCAGTCATAAAAATGCTATTTTCTTCAAAAAAAAGTACAAAATGGAAAAAATAAATACATAACATGATTCAGAGGGACTCAACTGATAAAATGATATGCCTTACAACTCTGAAAAAAATCTGGGCACAAACGGATTAAGCAGCAACATTTGGGCCTTTTGTACAACAATATGGAAATAAAAACTGTGACTATGTATAAAGGTGGCTTAAAGCTGATGGATCTCTCTGAAGTAGAACTGGTTTCTCTGGTCTGTTTAATTAATTGCCTGTGAGAAATAGAGGTATCCAAATATCGATGGTATCGACAGCAGTGCTGGTATGTGCATCAGATCGATACTAGTGCAATGGAACCGATACTATTTCTACCTCTATGTAGCCTGCTGAAATGTGTTAAATTGTTATTATTATTTGATTAGAAAACGTATTAAATATATGTGTTTAGTTATGCTAACTAATTATCATGGAAATTAAAACTCTGTGATTTAGTGATCATTAAAATGTGTTCATTTTCTATGTTGAAAGTGTCAATATCGGTATTGGTATCGGCTGGCCCTGCATTTACTTGGTATCAGATCGATATCAGCATTTGCAGTATGGCACTAGTGAGAACAGCTCGGGACCTTTAACAGGAAGTAGCCATGAATGAAGGTATAAAACTAAAACTGCAGATGAGCTAAAAATAAAACAGCAGGGGAGACGTGTTAAAAACCTCCAGCTTCTGAGTCTTGAAACTCAAAAGTAGATCTGGATCTTGATTTGTGTTTTTGGCGCTATCCTCGTTTTCTCTCAATGATTCAGCGAGCTTCCTCCCTCTTCCTCCACCCCCTCCTGCTGCTTATGGGATAAATCTGGATTAATCGGTAACGGAAAGTGTGGGCGTGTTACGGGGGGCGCGTGAAGCTCGGCGTGGATAGTTCCGGAGAGGAGATAGGTAGGTGTGTGTGTGTCTGTGTGTGCGCGCGCAGAGGAGGAGGGGGGAGGCTCGCGCATTCCCTAAACAGCTTGCCTCCTCGCGATTCCCGATGACATCATTCCATCCGAGCACTCGTTCGCGGACCGCATCGCCGTTAACTTTCCCGTTACCCCACCCACTTTGTGCCACAACCACATACCGCCGCGGGCTGTCTCTGTCACACACACTTATAACCGGAGAATGCCCCCCAGTTGGATTCTGGCATCCGCACAATTAGGGCGCTGATATCTGGGAAGTAATGGAGCACCCCTGGACATCCAGTCACAGGCACACCTTCTCTCTCTCTCTCTCTCTCTCTCTCTCTCTCTCCACACACACACACACACATCGTCCTGCAGCGCGAGTACCTGGTAATAAAGTCGTTAAAACCGCAGTATGACTGGGGCCCCAAATTAAGGGCAGGATGTTGAGCTGGTGACACAGACACCACAGAACGAGGCACCGCACTAACACCCGTAATCAAGCCCAATTAGAGATAACCCGCTAATTACCCCCCCTCTCCTCCACACATGCACGCACACGCACCTCCTGACTCCAGGGGACACACAGGCCACAATAAATCCCGACATTGAGACACAAAGGCTGGTGTGTGTGTGTGTGTGTGTGTGTGTGTGTGTGTGTGTGTGTGTGTGTGTGTGTGTGCGTAAAGCAAAGGGAGAGGTGGGGAGGGGGTGTGCAAGGGGGTAGCCGCCCCCCCTCCTTAACAGGAGTCTGGAACGGCCAATACGGATCCTGGGTCGAGTGTAGGATTTCCTACCGATCACCGACGCGCCGCCACTGTCTCATTAACGATAGCGCACTCACACACACACATACACGTGTGCGCGCACCCCGACTCCCGTGTGCGCAACGAGAGCTCCCCGGTTAACAAAGGATGTAAGGCTCGTGCTTACCGTGGTGGCGTGAGCAAGCAGCGCCGTGAGCGCCAGCAGCCAAGGCAGCTCCATGGTCGGGGTGCGCGGGCACAGCCTCCCGGTGCCGCCGCCGATGCTGCTGCCTTTACCGGTGTGGGAGGGGTGGGGGGTTCTGGGAGGTGGAGGGACCCCCAAAAAAGAAAAAAAAGCTGCTGCTGGCTGTCGCCGGCTCCTTGCTCTCGGTGCCTCGGTAGTCTGTCCAACTTCAGAGCGAGCCGCCCGTCTGCGCGACCATCCGTCCTTGTAGTCGGGCTTTTTAATCCAAGGCTTCACGCGCTCCTGCTGCTGGTTCCGGTCACCGCTGAAGCAGATTTCCACGATGCCTTCCGATCTGTCTGTTTCTGCGAGTTTTTGCGCTCGAAATCTGATAATTTACTACCAGAAGAAGCCAGACCTCGTCTCTCTCGCTCTCTTAATACACGCACGAGCTCTCTCTACCTCTCTCTCTCTCTCTCTCCTCCCCCTCTCCGTTGAGGGCAGGATGTTCCGTATGGCGACGCTGGCCTGGGAGTTTGGCAGGAGGAGGGGGTGTGTATATGTGTGCGTTAAAAGGAAGTGTAGGGGTTGGGGGTGGATCTCCGCGTGCAAGGGCGAGGATGCCCCCTGCAGCTCGGTTAGGCACCCGCAGCCCCCCCTAAAACAAAACAATAAGCAGTCTGTAAATTCACAAGCAGCGGACCGCGGTGTTGGTTTGGTTAACCGCTCACACACCTTTAACGGTCAACCGCGCTCCTGCGCCGTGATTGGCTCAGTCACACCTGCGCCTGTACGTAAGAGGGGTTGATATCGCGCGATAACACCCCCCCCCCCCTTCCCTCTCGGCTCTTGCAGTATGGTTAGCTGTTATTGCACCGCAGCAACCGGAGTGGAAACATTTAATGACCCGTCATATGCTCAAAGTTGTGTTCGCCACTTTTACAACCACCAGCGACGTCTGAAGGTGAACTTGAGCGTGCCTCCGTTTGGTTTCTCAGCTCCACCTGCCACTGCAGACCACGTGTTCCCTCCTTATCCCGAAATTAGCCTTGGGAAAATGTTGAATTGCATCTGATTGATTGCGAAAGACTATTAAGTAGGTTTTACCTACCTGTGATTAGTGGGATCAGAATGCTTTGTTAGGCTTATAAAATGTGACCTTTTTTAAAGAAAGCACTGCCAAATAAAGCCATCAGGTGTGTCTTCAAATAAAACTCGGTCTGATGTAGATTCTGGTAGTCTTGGGTGTGTTCTCCCACCACGTTCGCAGTGAATACATGTTTAACATATTGTTAAAAGTATTCACTCATCTGCCTTAAGGCAGGGTTTAATATGACATCGGCCCACCTTTTCCAGCTATAACAGCTTCTGTTCTGGGAAGATTTTCCACAGGTTTTAGGAGTGTGTTAATGGGAATGTTGACCTTCTTCTGGATGTGTATTTGTGAGGTCAGACACTGATGTTGGACGAGAAGGCCTGGCTCATAGACTCCGCTCTAATTGGCGTTTTATCAGGTTGAGGTGAGGACTCGGTGCAGGCCAGTCAAGTCTTTCCACACTAAACGTGCTTATTTATGTCTTTATGGTCCTTGCTTTGTGCACCGGTCATGTTGGAACAGGAAGGGGCTATGCCCAAACTGTTCCTACAAAGTTGGGACAATTAAATATCTTGGTATACTGAAGCATTAAGAGTTCCTTTCACTGGAACTAAGGGGCCAAGCCCAACTCCTGAAAAACAACCCTACACCTAGAAACTTTACACTTGGCAACCGCCAAACCCTGATTCATCCGTCAGATTGCGAGACGGAGAAGGGTGACTCAGAGAATACATCTCCACTCCTCTACAGTCCAGTCGTGGCGTGCTTTACACCACTGTAATATTGTGCTTAGTGATGTAGCCGCTCAATCATGGAAACCTATTCTGTGAAGCTCTCCAAGCACCGTTTGGAGCTCCTAAGAGCGACCCATTCTTTCACAAATGTTTATAGAGGCAGTCTTCATGCCCAGGTGCTTGATTTTATACACCTGAATCCTATGATTTGAATGGGTGACTGAATACTCTTGACAATATATTGCAGTCTGTTTGAATGACAGCACTGGAGGACTACAAGATGGATGTGTTCTGACTGAGGCCTGTTCAACACTGCAATGCAGGCTGATTATCAGTAAATTAGGACTTCTTCTCCACTGACCGTAGGAGGGTTTTCACTCATGCTCTTCCTATTGCGATCACATAATGAGCATAAACAGAGCAGGGAGTCAAAAATAATAGAGGCGGTTTTTGGTACACATTACTTAAATTGTTCCCGACTTCTTCCATTCAGCACTGCTGGTTTGTCAGTCCTTGCGATGCCCCATTAAGGTGCCAGCCTCATTAATCAGCCACATTTATGGGAGAAAGTGGAGCATCAGGACCAAACGCCCTGCTCCCCTCTCTTGACTCTTGCTGTGTAATTGCAGCCGTATCCATTCGGTAGACATCGAACACACGCTACGGCACAGAGGATCCTGTTTCTCAATTCAACATAACGAGAGTACCAGACACACAATGAAGCACAGCGGAGGCGGGTAAATTTTCAAAGTTTTTTTTTTTTTGTTCAGTTTGGTTTCAAAATAAAGATCACACAATTGTTTAGAGACAATCTACAACAGGAGTTACAAAAAATAGTTGCCCAGGCAATAAGCATACACAGGTTCTGTTAACTATACACATATGGTTACAGGTGTGCTCGTAGTAAATATACACAAGGCTGCTCCAAATGTACACCGCGCTGTGGCGGGCGGCCTCTCTCTCACCCAAAAGGACATGGACAGTATGATACAGCACTTACAGCACTAGAGAAAATGCCAAAAAACACAAGAGTCTCCTCTGTACAATCCACGCGTTTACCCCTGAAAACAGTCATGGGTAACTGAGGAGTTTGGGGGGAGAAGGGGAAGGGGGGTTTAAATGAGTAAAAGTTATTTCTCCCACCCAGCCAGCGTACTCAAAACACATGACACATTTCATGGGGTAAAGCATTCCTATAAAAAGATCTTAAAAAAGGTCAAAAAGTCCCCCCCCCTCCCCACCAAAACAACAAACAAACAAAAAACAAACCAGAAGACACCACTAATCTATCCGAACGTGTCCAATTGGGAGTCGGCGGGAGATCGACGTCTTTAAGTTAAGCAGTGACGAGATAAAGATAAAACCAAGCGTGGCGAATCTTTGTACAAGTACAACGCTGTATAGAAAGGGCTTTTCAAAACAAAATTTGATATTACAATTTACAATATACAACAACTCATATGTCACAACCAAGGAGGTGAGAATATACACTGAAATGCACAGTTTTTTTTTTTTCCTTTTTTTTGTCCCCCAGAGTGAGATTTTTTTTCTTTTTTTTTTCTTCTTCTCATACCAAAAAAGGGTGGTAAAGCACTTTTACATTACAAGGGTTTACAAATGTACAATTATACAGTCAGAAGTATGTGGTCACTACTAGGATACATTATAGATACAGATTCAACATCAAAAACCAGAAAAACTACAAAGTTTTATATATATATTTATATATATATATGCAAAGGTCTACACCAAGTATACACGTTATATTTATAGAAGCAAGACCAGAAAACGAATCTCCCATGCTAAATGATCTGTCTGCTGGTTAGCTGATGGTGGCGCGCGCGCATGTGTGTGTCTGTGTGTGTGTGTCTGTCTATGATTCGGGGACGTCAGACAAATTAAATACTCGTTCCATCTCATAGTGGTAAATAGCTAGAATGAGAGGAGGAGGAGGAGGAGGAGGGGGCTCTAGGATTGTGTATGCAGCAGTAGCAAAAAGTGAAAGATTTATCTTTTGAGTTTATCAGAAGCAAAAAAGGAAAAAAAGAAAAAAAAAGAAAAGAAAAGGAGGAGTGGGGTGAGTAGAGTGGGTCTCACCTCTCCTTGTTCACCCCCTCCTGCCACCGTCGCTGCCTTCCACTGCACCCAGTTTACAGACTGGAGTCCAGTGGGGGGAGGGGTGCCAAAAATCCAACCACGAAAAAAAAAGAAGAAAAAACCCAACCCACCAACTAAGGCTGCCTGTAGCAACAGGCTCCTCCCGAAGGGTTGTCATGGAAACAGTGGTGGGAGGGGTACACGATGTCCTCTATGAGGATTTGGTGGGGTGAAGTGGGCATGATGCTTTCTGAAGGGTCAGACGAGGGGGTGGGTGGGGTAGACATGAAGGCATGAGGAAGGTGAGCTGAAGGGTGGGGAGGTGGTAGACATGATTTTGGGGTGGGGGAGGAGGAGGGGGTTCAGTTTACATGATGCCATTAGGAGGGCCGCAGAGAGGACCCAGGTCGACGCCGTTCTTCATGTAGTACTTCTCGAGCTTGGCGAGGATGTGTTTTCCATACGTGTACTTCCTCAGTGTGGAAATGTGAGGCCGGATCTGTACACACACACACGCACACACACACACACACGTTAGTCAAAAATTGATACAAATTTGCTCCTTTTCGAGTCCCCTTACATGCATGCAGACCTCACATCAGTGACGAGGCTGACATTAACTGAGGTTGATAGATGCCAGTCTATAAACCGACTGAGCAAACATTACTAGAAGAGTTAATAAATAAAGGAATAAATAAAACCCAGCTCTCTAATTTCGCCCTCTGATTTGCACTCACTCGACACTTTGTTAGACACATCTGTTCAAGTGCCAATCACAAGGCTGAATAGATTTAGGCACGTAGACACAGCCAAGGCGAGCTGCTAAAGTTCAAAGTGAGCATCTGAATGGGATTTTCCTGCACAGCCATCTCTAAAGTTTACAGAGAAAATATCCAGTGAGCAGCAGCTCTCTGCTGAAAGTGCCTTGTCGATGGTAGAGGTCAGAGGAGAATGGCCAGGCTGCTTTAAGCTGATAGGAAGGCAACAGTAACTCAAATAACCTCTTGTTAGAACCAGGTATGCAGTAGAGCGCACTGTGTCAGTCCTGTCAAGTAAGAACAGGAAACTGAGGCTAGAGTTCGTACAAGCACATCAAAACTGGACAACAGAAGACTGGAAAAATGCCACCTGGTCTGATGAGTCTTGATTTCATTCGGATGGATGGGTCAGAATCCGGTGTAAACAACATGAAAGCACCAGCACTTGTTTATTCTACGCCACGAAGAATGAATGCAGCCCTGAAGGAGAAAGGGGGCCTAATCTGGCACTCGCGAGATGTACCTAATGAAGTGTCCGGTGAGTGTACGCATTAATGCAAACTTCACTGAAATGTTCTTTCCCATTATGGATGGAGGTCAAGCTAGCAGACATATTTGTACCTTAATAGCTTTAGAGGTAGTTGCTACTTGGACACAACAACAGAGTGCATTAGCTGGATGAGCTCTCATCAATCCAACCCACCTGCACAGTTTTGCATTAGTGACGGTTGGTTTCATTATAGTTTTGTTCGCGTTAGCGATCTAATTTGCTTAAAAAAAAAACAAAAAAAACCAATTCACACTGCTGAATTTAAGACTGCTGAATTTAACCCTAGGGAAGCTGAAAAGCTTCCCTAGGGTTTGACATCTAGAGCTGAAACAAATAGTCTCGGGTTTATAGGTTTTATAGCCGAGAACAGCTTCAATTTATTCACCTCTTATTCCTGTTCATGAGCTGAATTAAACCATCTTAAATCACTTTGAGCTTCGGGCTGTTTGGGGAATAAATGAATGTGCTGAACTTTACACCAACACCATAATAAAAATGACTATTTCCAACCTTTAAATCACAGATACTGCATTTGATTGCTCTAAAAAGGGTGAAATGTTCAATGATTATCCTTCAATTGTAACACAGAGCAGCGCTCTAAACGCCAGAAAACACCTCCTCATCCAGAAAATGTCAAAGCTATACAACAACGACTTCCCCATAAGTGACTGCAGTAAACACTGAACAAAAGAGGATTACAATCACATCTTTTATCCCAACATTTAGACGGGACGCACGATGACCCCTCTGGCCCCTTTACCAACCTTATGCATTACGATTTTGCGCTGCGTTGGCTCGGCCACATCGATCATCTTCTGCACCACATAGTTGGCGTACTGGTCCTTCATCATGGTGTATAAGGCACTGTGGGGGCCCTCAGTCAGGCTGCACACTTCATCTATCAGTACGGCCCGTTCTGCCCGTGACGCATGGGTAACACACTTCTCAACCACATTGCTGGAGAAAGGAGGAGGAGGAAGGGGGGACAGTGTTAATAAAAGCCACAAGAATAGAGGAGTGAGAACACAAGCAAATGTTTTCCCACACCAACAAGCCTGTCTCTGCATATGAAGTACCTGTAACCCAATTTGATCATTTCTGGCCTGAATTTTAAACAACAGCAGGTGACTTAAAGCTTAAAGAAGCTCCAAAATCACATTAGATCATCTACTCTGTAATGTGTGCCTATGGTGTAAATATAAAGGCTGTACCATGTTTGGTTCATGATCAAAGTGTCTGAGTAACAGATGTTATCATAAATATCGTAACGTCCCCCAGGCACAGAAAAAGTTCCTTATCTGATTGCAGGTGTGAAGAAACCAAAGGAAAACCTCTCAAACAAAGATGGAGCTGACAACGTGCGCACGTGTGTGTGTGTGTGCGCGCGTTGGTGTTTACCTGGCAAACTTGTGCTGGCTGAGTCCCAGTACATTGCCTCTGATTTCAGCCACAATTTTACTCTTATCCTCGGCTCTGCCATGCTCCAAAACGTGCTGGATCACGTAGTTGCCATATTGGTCCTAAATAAAACAAACCGCAGGCACATTAACTAAAAACGTGAGAAGGACAGCTGGTGGCTCTGACGTCACATCAAACACAGCCAACTTCAGAAATCTGGAGGCTCCGAGAGGAGCTTTTTTCCCCTCTTTGAGCTAACTTGAAATGTCGTTATCCTGAAAAATATAAAGCTGCAGTCAAAGACTGACAGCGCTGAGTGCCTCACCTGCACTAGCTGCTCTGTGTGCTGATGGAGCTCCTCCAATATGGGCAGCGTCTGCTCGGGGAGGCAGTGTTCGAGAATGCGCTGGATCACTCGGCAGCCGTAAGGGTGAGTGGAGAGGGCGAAGACCTGAGAGACGCGTGTAGTTGCACATTTTTAGTCATTCCGCTCACAATCGCATATCAACTCAAGCTCATTGAGGTGAGATGAACTCAAACTGTTTTCACTTATGGTGTACAAAGCGCCTCGAATTATCAGAGGCATACTTTTGCATACCCGGCCCACCCCTGCAGGGAAGGTGAAACACAGATTCCTGACATGCTTTCAGCTACACAAACAAATCTGAGCCACCGGGTACGAGACGTGCCGTTACACAACATGCAAATGCTCGAGAAGCAAAACACTCACACGGTGGTAACATTTACTGTCAGAGCGCCGAGTCGAGAAACCGAGACCTTTCATGTGTAGACAACAAAAGGATGATGCATGAACACACAATCTTTATTTTAACACTTTATGCTAATGTAACATTTAGCTTGTAGGTAGGTAGAAGATGGCTGTCGCCACTGGGCTGAGGTTTCTGTTGCCAAGGCAACATACCCTGTCCCTGAGAAGAAAAAAAAAAAGAAAGAAAAAAAAAAGGCCTGAGCATGTGTGTCTATGTGCTTTGGCGGTGACAATATGCTCGCTGCCTTCAGGCAGCAGCAGCGAGTGTGTGTGGATGTCAGCCATGCGCTGGCGTGCTACAGTGACTGAATGTGGAAATATTTTTTTGTGCAGACCGACCTGTCCCTTAAAGGCTTCGATGATGAAGTGCAGCGCGTGAGGCTGGACACATTCGATACACTTCTGCACCACATGGTTACCGTTCTGGTCCTTTACGCACTTCAGCACGTGGCCGTCTAGCTCCCGCACCATCTCGCTCTGCAGAGACGAAGAAGAAGAAGAAGAGAGGGACAGAGGGGAGGCGGAGTGAGGAGAGGGACAGTAATTGTTTGTGAGAAATCAAATATTGCCTGATGGCATTTTTCAGCCTCTCCTTCATTTTTCATTGCAGCTCACAGCCAGACAAATAACACTGGGCTTTTAACAGATGCCCTGCAGGAATCTATTGGGGTCTATTAAGCAAAGATGGATAACTTACTTCCTCACATACACACACAGAGAGACCCTATCCTAAAACACTGACTTCAAACTAAATTATTTCCTGTTGATATTCCTCTAGCTTTATCTGAATAGCACCAGTTTACATTTGCATATAAACTGTGGCGTCTTTAGCTTCATTCAACGCTGATGATAGTGCATACAAGGAGCCTGCTGTTTCACAAGGGAGCGCCAACATAAAAGCTCAGCGTACCTCTTCATCGATGCTGCATTCTGCTGTATAAATAGAAATGTGTTATCTATGAGCAATGTGCTCTCACTCACAGCTGAATTATCAGCACGTGGATAATAGATGTGCTAACAAATTGGGACACTAGGATATTTCCCCCTTTTCCCCCCCGCCTTCAACAGAAATCCAAGCGCAGCAGAGTTGTGACAGGATAGATTTATTTAGGGTCATGTTTACACGCTCACAAGTGTACTTACAATAACCTGCTGATCCGAGGGGATGAACTCCAGAGCTTTCTGAATGACCCTGCAGCCGTACATCTGCAGGGCCAGAGACAGCACGTGACCTCGGATTCTCTCAGCGAGAGCCAGCTTCTGGTCCAGGCTGCCAAACTGAAACGCACAAACAAAATGAGCCTCTAATCCTTTTGACAATATGCAACACCACACATGTAAGCAAAATCAGACAGGCTACAGAAGCTATTAAAGCTAGGCGTGGTTCTGAAGAATAATCGACTGAGACTTTCCCATAAATTTAACGTTGGTGTTTCAAAGGCACACGCAGCACAGCATCAACTGCACACACACCTCAAAGAACTTCTGGATGACGTAATTCCCAAAAACATCCACCATGAGCTGGTAGGCCGCCTGCAGGATCTCGCTGAAGACGAGCTGGCGCTCTGCTGAACTGGCTCGCTCCAATTTCAACTGGATAAACCTTTAAAAGAGAACGAGGATGAATAAAAGTATATCTTTTAAATTAAGTTCGACAAACATCTTTTGTTCTGTTTTTCCCCCCTTCTTCTTTTTCCTGTCTGCAATGTATACAAGCCTCATGAGAAAATACACAGACTCTTCTCATAAAATCAACCAAGTGCATAAAGGGGATTTACAAAGTTTAGATGAAACTGGAGATGAAGACAAACACGTCAGAGCAATAAAGCGAGACAGATGTCCTGAGACAGAACTGAGAGAGAAGTGCTCCAGTTTCTTTAACCTGAGGGACAGTCGGAGTGGAGACGGTCCAAAGAGGGAGCTGAAGGAAGTGAGCAGCCTGTGAGGTGAAGAGATGGATGCCCGGCGAGGAGAGAGATAAAACAGACTGAGATGGTGGAAAGAAATTGTCTGGGACGTGCAGATCGGGCATGTTGATATGTTCACAGATGACTTCAGCAGAAAAGTCTGCACATGTCTGGACTGCGTCACAGTGTCGGGCAGTGATGGTTCAGTGACAACACTTTTCTGTCAGTATCAATGTTTAATATAGAGGTTACTTCATGAAATTAAAGAGCTTAATCGCCAATTTTGTCTTCCTTACACTGGCTCCTCATAAAGTTTAGGGTTCAATTTAAAAATCTGGTGATCACTTCATAGCACAACACGTTCAAATGTCTCCATACATCAGTGAACCACTACAATCATGTTGGCTGTACATAGATCCAGTGACCTAAGATCTGTTGACACTGTTAATACCTTTACTTTAACAGAAGCTTAGGATGCACCGTTTCAGACGTGGCTTTATTTATTTTAATCGATTTATACCATTTTAATTCTAATTACTCTGTATTGAAAAGCACTTTGTAAATTTTGCTCTTGAAAAGGACTCTTCAGTCACACACCAACTGTCAGAGATCAATATGTGAGAAATAAACCTGCCATGCAAGTACATTATCGATGGGCACTGCTACAGCTCACCTGGCTGAGAAGGTGACCTCCCCCTGTGCTAAACCCACGACCTCGTCCCACTTCTCTCTCCAGTCTTCATTGTCCTGTCTACTAAAAATTCTCTGTATAAGTTAATGTGTCTAAAGACAAATAGACTCAATGGCCTGATAAATTTGCAAGTTATTACTTGAAATTCAAGCACAAGCGATGATTTGGTGTGTTTAAACTGCTGGTAATACAAAATGAACAGTCTGGAGGCTTCAGAGTCTACAAACACCCACCGCGAACGATTAATTGCTAAAGCGGCTGGTATATTAATCGTGCAGCACATCATTAGTCGCAGCCACAGACTTTACTTTTTGTGTCTACTTTTTCATTACAACTTAACTGGCACTAGTGGTACGCCTAAAAGTTGACGTTTCACAGTAACACATCCTGTCACATACTTGTTGTGTGGTATCCTATTAACCTGCAGTTATTGGGGCCTCCAACTGACTGCCATTACTCATGGGACAGACTTTCGGGGGAATTCAAAGGTGTTATTTTATACTGGAGGTAACTGCCCACACGTACCTGCTGCCGTGCTGATCCTGGCTGAACTCCATGATGTGGCCGGCGATGTCTCGGAGCTGCAGGTTGGGATAGCGGTTGTTCCTGAAGTCCTCGAGCAGGCGGCTCCGGCCTGATGGCATCACGTCCGACATGCCGTAACGTAGCCGTGATGATGGGAAGAGCTGGCTGCTGGGGGAAAAGAGGGAGGAGCCCGAGCTGGCGGCGTTGCGGTACTTGGCCTCGGCTCCTGGAGCTGCGGAGATGAAACGCCCACTGCCATTGGTCAGGCCTCCTGAGGCGTCAGAGAGAAAGGGGACTGTCACAAAGTCAAATGAAGAGAATATGAACCTAAAAATACATCACACACAAATAAGTACCAATAGGTACTACAACAGTAAACGCAAGTTATACAATGAACATCATTCAGCCTGTCTGACACAGAATTAGCTGAAAATATATGGAATTAATCCTTGAAGTTGAGCAGTAGATATTACTACTCAAAAACCTGTGTTCTTAGATAAACTTGGTGTCTAGCTGAGCATGTCAGTGCACGCTTGTTTCCTTCCTTTGAAAAAAAACAAAAACAAAGAAGTTCTTTCTGATTGGTTGAATCTGTACAGAATGACAAATCTGATGCATGTGAATGAATATGCCACAGCTAGGTAATCCATCCGAGTCATAATGAAGCCTCGCCCTGACTGTCAGTTTGTTTAATTATCATTCCATCAACACTGATTTGCATTAAAATTCACTCTGCCGACTGTCAATCACGCAAAACAAAACACTGCGACACAATTTATAATTAGTCCCTCAAAACATGCTGCCGTACAAATCTTCAGCTCCATTTGTTAGTTTGGAAAACTGAACAACGGCCGCTTCTCAATTAAGCCAGACACATCTTTTACTAGAATAAACTCTAAATGATGCATATTTGTTTACATTATTGTAAAGCTTTAAAAAAAGTTCTGGTAAGTTAAGTAAAGAAACCATCAACTGATAAAACATCATTATAAACCAGCAGCACTCCTAATTAACACAACATCCAGAGAAAAGATGCTTACCAAGATTGAGGTTGGATGAGGAGCTGTGATTGGACAGGGAGGGTGGAGGTGTGAGGGAATGGGAAGGCCCCTGGTTGGGTAAAGGCATGCCCACAGGGCCAGGGGATGGACTGAAGCCCAGGGTGCCGTTGTAAAATCCTCCATGACCAATCGGGGTGAGGCTGGAAGGTGTGCGTTTATACAAATCGCTGTTGCCTGTCAATGAGTCCCGTCTTGAGCCACTGCCACCACTCGAGTTGGCCACTAGAGGGAGACAAAGATATGAATTCAATCAGGTTATCTGTTTGTATTTATCAGTAACTGTTATTCAGTTTAACTACTCACAGCTACATTATACATTGGCAACAATGTTCCCTCTAATTTTTCATGTGTCTGAGCGAACACACAAACTCCCTGAGCGGTCCCTTGGACCACTGTGAGCAACAGCAGACGTGTGCACTGTGGTCACGCCAGCATCGAATCCATCCAAAGTTACATGGTTTATTAAAATAATCAAATTACAGCATTTACATTTATGTTAGACTACTTTTAATTAACTGCTTTAGCCCACTTACAATGAAAATGTAAACAAATCTTGTTCATGACCTGTGTAGCATGTTAACACTATTGGGAGTAAAAATAACTTGAACTCCAATTTTGAAAACAAAACTTTCTCTCTCTCTCTTTTATAAAGCTCTGACTTGTATTATGAGTCTGTGGTCTGGGAGAGAGTCCTGTAACTCTCTGTCTGCAAAATACAGTATATAATGATACAGTGTTGGGCAATTAATCATATAGTTACTTCTTTAAAAAAGTAACTGAGTTACGCAAACAACAACGTTTTTTGTAGCCGTTTACCTAAAACTGTAGCCAAGGCGTTTTTTAAAATAAACATTTCAAACTATTTACAGAACAATCAGCTGTTCTGCATCAAATTTGATGCCACACAAATTATTTGTGCCACTCCAAAAAATAATTTCTTTCCACTATAAAGGAGAACAACAGTCTGATACCTGCAGGCCTGACAACAGCAGATGTATCACTCCTGTAACACCTGTAACATTCAGCAGTCGCCTCATTGTTCTGACACACACAACAAAACTATTGACTACACTACACACTAACTACACAAGACAACACACTAACTTTAGACTCCAAACACGCTAAACTTTGCAAATCTCTCACATCTCAGAACACCGCTGTCACTCCTAAAACTTCCCCCCCTTTCTAAACAACTAGATGCCACGTTACCATATCATTTTTTGATTGATCGACATGCTACATTTTTCCACCAATAGGAAAGGGTGGGGTATTTTGGTTTTGCTCACAGGCGGAGAGTGCTTTCGAACATTTTCCTTATAAAACGCAGTTTTTACCGTTTCTTCCCGCAGTAAATATAAACAACGATAGTATTCAGGAAAAAAAAAAAACACTGCAGAAATTTTTATCATAACTCTGGTTTTACGCGGCCTATCAACATAATTTAAAAACTGGTATAAAGTTCACACTTTTTCCATCAATTGTTCGTCTGTCCTGCTCACATCTCCAATGGTTGTACACGTTGTTATTAACGTGGCTTCACTCCACATCAGCCACGCCGCTTTGCTAGCTAAAACACCGGTGTCGGCACATAAGGACGCTGTCATAGCCTGTCGACGACGCTGATTAGCTGTGTATATACGAATGTGAATCGCATCATTGGCTGGACTATGGGATAAGGTGGCATCGTTCTAATCCCATACGGGAGCAGCCAGTCACTTACTGACTAACACTGCAAAACAGAATTGTTAAAGTATTCATTTTAATTTCAATTCAGGTTAGATTTTGTTTCTATGCGCAACGCAGATTTTCTGTGCAATTGCGCACGCGCGCAGCTTAGAGGGAACATTGATTGGCAAGTCACTTAGATTTATTTTAAAAGACCCCAAAAGAACCAAAGATATCATGTGGAAAGAGTGCATTCCCACCTGCAGTGCCAAACCCTCCCAGCGTGGCCCCCAGAGTGGCACCGAGAGAGGATGAGGCTTGCTGGCTGAAGCCCAAGGAGGCAGACCCTGGTCCAGGCTGGGCAGAGCCTTGTGAGAACAGAGAGGAGCTCTGGGAAGAGGAGCTAAGGGACGAGGATCCGTAGAAGGAACTTCCTCCCAGAGCGCCACCGGGGCCACCCTGCTGCTGAGGCTGCTGGGATGTCATGGCACGGAAAGGACCGTTAGCCCCGCCACCAAGACCGCCGTTGGCACCACCAGCAGAGGCTGCTGCAGCAGCAACTGGAGACGGGAAACAATCCAAGTCAATCATCTCATAAAGCAACAAAAAATTTATATTGTGTTAAGTAAACGCGTCGTTGAAGATAATCGTAAGATTGATTTCTTTTACTTCCCTAACAATGCTTTCAATCACCTCCATCAGTGACGTAAACCTTGCTTTTTAAAACTCAGTAACACTCCCTCATGGGAACTCCTTGTGCAAATCTAAGTCCAGACTTGAAAGTACATAGTCACAATCCCATAATTGCGTGCTCTGGTTAGATGGGACATTTAGAACATGCTGTTAAAGGCCACAATCTGTAATCTGCTGTTTTGTGTGCATGACAGTCTCGTTTATTGCAACAGAGGCAGGCTGGGCTTCTGACCACACGCTCCAAGTGAGCTGCTAGTTTACCTGCTTGTGCTGCAGAAGGCGATATGATGACGGAGGCGGGGGCCATGAGGCGGACGGGGCCACTCCTGGCTCCCGTGTTGACCACCAGGGCCCCTGTCTGATCATAGTAGGCTGCGGGCGCCAATACTGGATACCCTGAGAAAGAAGATTTTGACATGTTTCTTTCATATAGATGACGGGCGGCAGTAACGCATAACTGAGCTGTTTATAGTTTTGCACTCACCGGGTACTCCTGCTGCTAACCCCTGCCCAAAGGCGAGGGCTGAGTTGACTGCTGCTGCTGCCACCAGCTGGTCATTTTGCTGACCCTGTTGCCCTTGGCTAGGGGTCAAAGGTCGCTGATTTCCTCCAGCACGCATCACCTTTAGAAAGTAAGAAAAGCAAAATTCTGAATTTGTTCCGTGTAGAATAAGAAACAAAGCTCAACCGCACAAATGGGAGAAGAACAAGTAGCAGTTCCCTGATTTGCTTATAATCATTTAATAATCAATGAAGAGGTCTTTGTCTAAATGCACTTTTTAAACTGGCATGAGAGACGAGCGCTCACAGAAATATTTTGAGCCGGTGGGAGCCCGTGTGTCAGTTTTCTGTCGGACAGTCAACTGACCTGCTGTTGGTTCTGCTGGCCCTGGCCTGCTGCCTGCTGATTGGCTGAACTGTTGGCTGCAGCAGCCTGCTGCTGGAAAAGGTTGGCTGGATAGACACCCCAGGGGGTCACACCGTAGTACTGGGGGGGCATCACTGCTGGACCTAGACACAAAGAGATACACAAAGTAGCTTTGAGATATGGCAACAGTGTCCATATTTATGGATCAACATATGAAAATTACATTTTTGTTTTGCATTTAACAGAAATCTAAACGGAGGTGACAGCGCGTCTAAAAAGAAGAACGTCTCACCGAGTGTAGCTGCTGCTGCTAGGCCCGCTGCGTATGGGTCTGTCCCTGGCGGCGCAGCACTGATGATGTAAGGATTGGGCACAAATGCTGGAGCCAGACCTGGAAAACACAAGGAGGGTAAAGGTGGACCAGGGCAAAAGGGCTTTACATAATACATGAAGGAAAATCACAGGACTTGTTGTGAAGCTATGGCATAACTACTTAAGAGACTCGCAAGGATGTCATATTTACTAATCAAATCTCAATCTTTAAGGCATTATTTTATTTTAAACTGAAAGACAAACAATAAAAACAGCCAGTCTATACACCGAGCCGGGGGGTCAAGCTTTGCAAACATTAGTGGAAACCCTGTGCTACGAATACAAATATACCAGAAGAAGAAGCTGGCCAATCATCATGAAATGCATGTGACTGTTTGTTTTTGGGTAGTTCAAAGATAATGCGTGCGTGAAGCCATACAACCATCTGACATGCAGTTTAGACAGACACACTTACCAATGTGAGGCTGCTGTGCGGCTGCCAGTGCGTACTGCTGTTGCTGGGCTGCTGTTAACTGCTGCACTGCTAGGGCATTGTTTCTCTGAAACAGCTGCAAACAGCATGAAGAAAGGTGAACCATAGGTGAGCTGAGTGCTGTTAACACACGCTAAATAACTCCTCTGTCTGGTGATCTTACCTGCTGCTGGTTAGTGTAATCAAATAGGCCCACAGTGGGTGCAGAGTCCATGGGCATCTGAGAATTGTAGTCAAACTGAAGCGGCTCCATCACAGACTCCATGGGGTCCATGGTAACACCACCTTGTTCCACGCCAGAAAAGTCATCAGGAGGTTTGGGAACTCCGCCACCTCCCAGGGGTGTCAAACCCTCAGGCCCTACGCCCCCGGGACCACCCAGCAGATCACCCTCTGGGCCGGGAGCCGGCATGCTGCCCGGGGGGCGACTGCATGGAGCAGAGGTTCGGTTAATATCTAAAGGGTACCAATCATTTCTCTAAGGTGTGGGTGTGTGTCCTCTTGTGTCACGCAGATTTTTACCCAAACTCTTTGACGTCCACGTCGAGGCCGTTCTGTACAGGCAGCCCATTCGGGTTGATGACATCGCTGATCACATCAGATTCACCTTCCGTTAACTCTTTTAGTTTCTCTCCCTCAAACGTCGTCTTTGGCTTCTCCCTCTTTTCCTCCTCCACCTCTCCATCCCTCTGACCCTGTGTGACGGAGAGAAAATGATACAATGAGACCAGATGCACAGTGTTGCTCCTCTGCTGTACACACAGAGGAAGGCGCAGGAAGGACAAAGTGACACTGACAAAAACTACACGTTGTCAGTGGGAGAAAATGACACAATGGGCGTGTGTGGCAGTTACAGTTAGCATGATCAGGGAAACAGAAGTGTTTGAGTAATGACACTTACATAGGGTCCTTTTCGAAGACAGGAATCCAGTTTGTCAGCCGGTGAGGAGGACAGAACGTACTCTACCATGCTAACCCCGAGCCCTCCGCTCTCAGACCGTGGAGACATCACAGAGCCCACCCCGACTTCACCACCGCCATGGAAACCTTGCCCTGGCCGACGGGACACCATGATTGGCTGAGACACCGAGTGATCTGCCGTGAGAGGAACAGAGAACGACACATTTACTCAGCAAACTGTGCAAGCAAAAAGTAGCAGTTTTCAAAACAGATGGCTTGAAGATTTTTCAATAGAAATGATCATCCGGAGCAGTAACAACATGTTCAGCTGTTACAGATGTGCTGGGCGAAATAACAAAGCTCCTGATGTATTTGATAGATTCATAAGAAATTAGGATATCAGCAATATCAAATAATCTTAATCCACATACAGCAGAGCGCATGTAACCACATGCTGAAACAAGCACTGGCAAAGGGGAAGGTTCCAGTTTCATTACATACTGCACATCACTTTTATTTACCGTATTTTTCATTTTATTTATGTACTGAGGAAGTTTTGGTGTTGCTAATAAATCTGATACAGCCATTCCCACACGTGCACCAGAACTTTCCAAGACCTCTCTTAACAGAAATGTACGGGGAAAATGTTCTGATGCTGTCACATCAGACATTAGCCGGCTCATCCAACAGCTACTAGCTCCCTAAAACAAAACCTGCATGAAATCCATGCTGGATTGAGTAGATGTGTGAATAGCATGGCTAATAGTGAAGTACATTCACTGGTATAGCGTGCATAAATTCTGCCATGTGACATGTGAGAAAAATATCTGTAGAAATATTCCTGAGCTGATTCTACAGAAACTGAAGTGCATATGTGGAAACGGCTCAAAGTTTTAACTAATTTATCTCATTTCATTTACTCATCAGCTTTACCAAAAACATCAAATCAATGTGTTACAACTCAATTATTCATTGGATATTGTCTGAAAGCGTTTTCAGTTTTCACAGGACTCTACGCAGCCCTGTAAAAAGCTAAGCACACTATGATTAACAAGGTTGTAGCAGAAATAGCCCGAAGTCTCTCACACCGTTGTGGGAGGGGGGTTTCACCCACACTTCAGTTCATTGAGGTTTGTGGGCATTTGTTTGTGACGCTCTCCTGAGGTCCTGTCACAGCATTTCAATCAGGCTGAGGTCTGAACTTTGGGCCATTGCAACGCCTTCATTCCTTTCCCCCACCTCACTCATTCTGTTGTAGAGTTACCTTTGTGGTTGGGATTACTGTCCTGTTGTTGCATTTTGTTTTTGCTGAACAGGCACTGTGCATTACAGCCAAACATCTACACTTTGATCCAGAAGTCTTGTGGTTTGTTCAGATGCAAATTTGCAAAGCTTTAGAGAGAGACTTTCTCCTGGCAGCCCTTCCAAATCATGCCAAACTTGTTCAGTCTTTTTCTGCTAACGTGACATACTAACTGAGGCCTGCAAACCAAAATGTAGCGCTTGTTTGGGTTTTGCTTACTTTCTTTGAGCATTGTTGTTGTGGTGGTGGTAGGTGGGGGTGGGGAATTTGCTAGGATTGTGCAAACACACACCTGAATCCTCCAGACAAGCAAACTGACAAAACTTGTTACTGATCTGTTAAGTGCATTTGAATAGCAGCACCCAGCTGTTCCTGACCCACTTAATTCTTATGGAAGGTGTGTTTAGTTTTTTTTTTTTTTCTTCACAAGACTGCAAAGAGTAATGTGAAAAGCATTTTTACATGACTGTAATTCATAAAAAAATTAGAATGCAAAATGATTTTTTTCCCTTTTTTTCATGAACCAGTGAGTATTTGACACTCTAGAAATGAGCTAACACGCGTCAGCATTTTTTCCCGGTGCAGACATGATGTACGAGGTGCGCCAGATGACTTGTAAAAAGCCGGGATATTTCTTTTGTCATCCCGTCTACAGAAATAACCACACTGTGTTAATTTGATACAACAGGAATCTCAGATCTCGACATGATCTGGGAGAACACAAGAGATCTCACTCTGACATCAGCCTTTGAGTCTGGCAGGAAACTAAATATATATTTTCCAAACACCTGACAGTGATTGTTTTGGTCGTTTTTGTGCTTAAGTGGGGGGAAAAAATGCATTCACTCCAACCTTCTCCCTACAGCCATGGCACAAACAGAACCCAGGACGGCAAATACCTGAAGCCCCCCATGCACTGTCCCTCCACTGGTCCAGGAAGATCCCCTTTGGTCCATCCTTCCCAGAGTCATCTGTTTCCCAGAACTTCTTACCAGTTAGCAGCTGCTGCAGAGACACAAGACAATGAAGAAATGAAACAGGTGGCAAAAGAAATGATGAGGTTACACAGATATTGCTGGCAGATGGGAGAACAGGCAAACTAAAAATCAATCCATACAGAACAGGAAGTTTGTACAAGCAGAGCTCTGAGTAGATGGCAAACTTCTTTTTTTGTTGCTGCAAACAGTCCGTTCTTGTGTTTCCAGCAACATCTGTACTTCGACCCTTGACTGAACCCCCCCGAAAAAACAAACAAGAACAGGTCATTCTAACTGGATGAGTCAATCAAAAACATAAACTGCTTCTGCAGCAACAAAAACTAGCGTAGAGGAACAAACAGGAGCTCGATGTTCCTGCTGGGAACAGCTTCATGCTTGGATTCAAAAGAAATTCTTGCACCTTATCAGCAGTTCAGTTGTTTATCTTCATCTCTCCTCGGTTTTTATTACACCCAGTGATAGTTTTCTTTTTTTCACAGTAAAAAAAAAAAAAACTTTTGAAACTAATCTGATGTGCATCTTCTGGCTAGAGGGGGCAAAAAAATCCATTTATAGTTAAAAAACAAAGATTACAGAGTCATTTTTGTAAGCTTTTAATAGTCACTCTCACTACTGATATATTACAGTGTATAGCAGCAAAACAGTAATCAAGCAAGCCAAAACTAACTGCAGGCACTGGCCCAACATTAACAGACTTACTGAGTGCAAAATACAAAACAAATAACAGCCGGTCCAACGAGCTCGAATTAATAAGCATCTCTGCTCAATCTCTTCTCGGCTTTCAGAGCTTTTCAGTCTCAAAAAATACAACCCAACACCGCTTTTAGCTCATAAGCAACTGATCCATTTCTATTTTTTTTTCCTCTTGGATTTCCTGCTATTCAAGTTTGACTCACTCCCGGTAATCCATCATGTTTCTATTCAGCCAAATGCCCAAGCTACAAAATACAGGGCAGGCGGTTTAATGTCGCAGTGTTGATCCACGGCGTCTGCCCTCGTCAGAAGCACTCATTTCAACCTAAATTTAGAAGTGCAAACATGAGCAACCAGCCTCAATGCTTCATTATTGGCTGAGGTCACCATCTTCTTCACAATAAGTGACCCTGATTCATCAACTCTTGTCTCACCTCTCCCATAGCGCGTCCCTCAAGAGCGAGAGCCTGGAAGTCATGGTTCAGCTCGTCCATGGAGCGCACCTGCAAACAGAAAGCAAATGAGACTGTCCATTCAGCTAACACTTATCAAGGACTATCAGGACCATGTTAAGAAAATAGATATATATTAGTGATCATTTTGAGAAAGCTGTGGAGATTAAATCTGTCATTTCAACTCAAAGAACTGCCACGGCTGCTAAACCCTCAACAAAAGCCCCTTGTGCAGATGAGTTAGTTACTTTAGAGTTTTAGTTACAAGGAAATTATTTCCCTTTTAGCACATATACTTATCACCACACTGTGTTTAAGGACGCTGAAAAAGATGGTGCAGAGAGATGCATCGGGTGAAATGAAAAAAACGCCCCGAAACTTTCACAAACGTGGAAGAGTTGGAGGGATTTGTGAAAAAAAAGAAATAGCTGGCCATGGACAGATGCAAGGATACCGATGGTTACACCGCCGTGTAATAAAGATGATGTATGTTGCATCACAAGACAACATGACAGCTGATCAGGTTGTGTCACTAACTCATCTACACAAAGGCATTTTGTAGAGGTTATAACAGCCGTGGCAGCTCTTTAACTTTGGCAGTGTTACCAGGTCACTAACAAAAAATTTGATTCCTTTAATGTCTCTGCTGTATGTTGCCACTTGTGCAACATTAACACACACACACACACACACCTGGCTGTCATGGATGTTGTCTCCAGTGGGCCAGCGATGTTTGCCGGGCTGTTCGCCATGCTGCCGCTGGAAGAAGTAGTCTACCATGGCATCGTCCTGGGAACGTCCAGCGCCCGCCACACCCTGAGAGACACAAGTACACACATGCACATTACCCTGGAATTACTGGTAACAGCAACCAGAACACAGTGCCTGAGAAAGACTGCAAACGTTATTCACCAGAGCTGAACATGCTGAAAATATACACAGAAACCAGAGTTCTTATTGTTTTGGGGGGGGTTTTCCTAATTAGTTATTTTATGTTTTATTTTGACTTTTTGTTTTTAATATAGTTCAGTTTCACTTTTCAGAGTGAATTTCCTTCTTTCAGTTTAGTTTTTATTGTTTAAGTTTTGGGTTTAGTCTTTTTAATTATTACTGCATGGAGGGCATGTTTCAGAGGTAAAAAGAAAATCAGTATTACAATATAAACACAGCTTTAAAAGCTGAAGTTTTCCCCAGTTAAATATCATCTCTCAGGATGTGTCATTTGGATTTTTTCAGAAATCAGCAGCATCACTCAAACACGACAACAGGCTGAAGTATGTAAGGCCACATCCTCTCAGGTCCAAGTAAGAGGCAATACTTCTGTTTAACAGAAAAGCCTCCAGTCACTTCCTCCCTCCCTCACTTTGAGGGAAAACTCAAAATTCCCCCACAAGACACCACCATCAAAGAATCCACGGTTACCATGTACTGGAAACAGCTGGGCTTACTGTTTGCTGTACACGCAAAGCACAAGACAGCCAGTCAGACCAAATTGTTGCTTATCAGAAAACATTCTTCTCCCCCAAGGATTACTCATGAAAACACCAACCTTGTTATCATGAACTAACATTTTCTACCCTTCAGACTACCTTGGGGCCTTAAAATGTTTCTTTTGCTGTGGAACAAATACAATTTACACAGTGCTGAAGACAGTATATCGTTCAGACCTGTCACAGCAGCATCACAGTATTAACAGATTTGGGGGCCACATTTCAGACTACCAAACAACATTTCAGTTAAGCAGCAGAGGACACTACAGATGAGCTTCAGGAACATTTTTGGCTGTAAAACGAGTACAGCAGGAAATCCAGCAGCGAGGAGGACATAAGGATAGACGGTGTGTCCAAACCAAAAACATGTGACACTTACTGGTTTTTGACCATTGTCTAGCTTCAACATCAGAAGTGACCTTATATGGATAAGAGGCTAGAGTGCTAAGGGCCAAGTTAACAGCTAATGCAATAGGTCTAGGCTGATAGGGGCTTCCCATGATGCACTGAGGGTTTCATCTTCACTCATCTCTTTCTGGTATGTGTTTATCCAACCTTTTGCATTTAATCATCACCATCATTATCATCACCAGAACTTCACTCACCAAAACTGAAGTCCAAACATCTTGGATGGTCTGTACTGCACAAAAAATTCTAAATATTTGTCACATAACCCATAAAAAATGCTCAAAAAGGCTATAACAACACATACAATGTGAAGTCGCTCAGTCACTGGCTCAAAGTGGTGAATGATGTATAGGAGACTAAACTGAAAAGTTTCAGGAGGAGTTGATTGCCACTATAGAAGCGTAGTATACCATCATGCATTGCACCGAAAGAAAAGGTAGTAGCGCATCACTTAAAACTCCCACAAGATGAAGCTACTTTCTGCTCCTTCTTTACTCACAGATCACCACAGTGAGTAGCTCCAGGTTTGATTTGGCAGATTTTTAAGCTGGACCTTCCTGACACAAACCAAAGAGATTTGGGATCATTTGCTACAAACTGCCGCAAAGTATATATATTCCTTAATTCAGGAATATATGTTTGGTTTATTATGTATTCATCACAGTAATTCAGCCCATGTTGGTTTGTTACATTTTACCTTTGTTAATCTGCAAAATCCTCACATCCAAAAAGGTGACAAAAACTTCAGTAATTTTTCTATATAAATACCTACAAAGAATCAATTATCACAGCAGCCACGCGTTTGTTTGTTTTTTACAAAAATGAGCTGACAACAATGAATTGAATCTTTATGATATAAAACTGACTCTCTAGAAAGCCCGAACATGTGAATTGTATGTGTAACACAAAAAAACCAAAACAATAACCCATTAGAGGCAGCGCTCTAATGATTGTAGCCACCTTCATGCTACAACATGTCAGCTTCATTTCCAGAAAATAGCTGTGTTCATGGACACCCGATGTAGCAGAAATAACAACAATAATAACTTTTACGCAGTGGTTTAAAACAAACAACTGAGTCAGATGAAGATCAAGTTTATGCGCTTCAACCTCATAAGCGTGGTCACCTGTGGACTTAAAATAAGAGCGTGGAACAGTTAAAAGACCCTGATCAGATGAGGGCTGAACGATTATGGAAAATAATCTAATTGCGATTTTTTGCCCCAATATTGCGATTGCGATGCGATATGCGATTATTTTTAAGGTCTTTGTCTTCTGTATTATTAAACAAAGACAAGCAATACATCATATAGTATGGCCAATACTATATTACATTAATTTTAAACTGTTCTTTCCTGGAAGACAGACCTCTGTTATGATGACATGAGGTGATGCATGAATTGATGACTGACATTTTTATTTAACTTCTTCAATCACAACAGTATATTTGAACATACACAATAGTTTATTTTTAGCTTACAAACATCTGAGCATAAAGTGCTGACAAGGAACCCTGGTGTAAACATTAAAATGAAAGTCAGTACAATGTGCAGATTGCAGAAATATACATAAAAAAAATCAGTGGCTTTACCACACTCAGTTTTTCGACATCTGTGAACTACTAGACAGTCATTCAATTAAAAAATAATATTAAATAAATAAAACTAATAAATAAAAAATACACATATCTTACTGATCTCTGCAGTCAGTAACATTACACATAAAGTGCAAACATAATAGCAATTGTATAAACACACACACAAACACGCCTTTAAAATTTAAAGGCGTGAAATTGGACGGTCTAGCCTTCTGATTAGCGTCACCGCTGTCTCGGTGGAGTTTAATAAACTCGGCCGTCTGCTTCTTGCTATCTAAAATATAACCAGACACTGGTGTAAATTCTCGACTGTCTCATACTTCTGTTTAATAAGTTTTCTGTTTGACGTTTAGTCAGCTGTGTGAAAACCAAGGAGGAACCCACCCAGGGGATTAATAAAGTTTTATTTTATCTAATCTAATAACTTTAATCTCAGCCAAACCGATTTACTCATGAACAAACAAAACACTGAAAAAACCCAACAATAACATTTTTAGGTTGTCTAAGTGACTTATATATTACGTTTAACCCGAGCAGCGAAACTCCGCGGTGATCTGAAAATGATGTGCCGGGAGTTGTGCCGCTCTCGGCCGCATCAGTAACCCTCGAGGTCCCGGCTAGCTGTCGAGCTGGTGGGTAGCAGACGCCTCTGAAAACGTCGAAGCACTTTTGCAAATATGGGATATCTTGATAAACCGAGCAGATATTTGATGTTTACACAACTACTTTCTCGCCTGAAAATATGTTAAAAGTTTATTTTGTGACCCAGAAAGATTAGTATGAGTAATTTTAAAACTTAGTAGCGGCCGCCATTCCTGGAAACTGGAGTTTGGCTGGGCCGCGCTATGAATTCTGGGATATGGTAGTAATTTGGACAGCCTTCGGCACGTCGCTGTGACGTAATCGGTCTACAAATGCGGCCTCAGGAGGATGCAGCCCATGAATTTGGACATGTCCAGAGTATAATCGCAGCCTTTGCAGTTAGAAAATTGCACTTGATCATGTCGCGATATTATCGCAAATGCGATATATCGTTCAGCCCTAGATCAGATGGTCAGAGGCTAACTCCTAAAATAAGGTTTTCACAACATCTGAGCTTCAGAAGCCAGTGAAGGGTGTTACCGCTTCACTTGAAAACCATAATCCTTCCAAACTAGTGATCTAACAATGAGGAAGGTCCCCTTTGCTGTGGCTGATGCCCTGCATTTATCAAGCGTGATGCTAGCCGTTTAAGCAGAGCTCCTTTAACAACCATTGTTTATTCAGCTAATAACAGCCGAGGCAATACAAAAGCCTTAAAGCTAGTAAGATAAGACTGCAATTATTTGGTTCATTAGCTCTCGAGTCAAATGCACATGTTCCAGAAAGCTTGAGATGAGTGTCATCAAGCTTTAATGGCTGTGTTGCAATGTCTCATTTTCTGGTGCTCTAATCAGGGTTTGTAACAAAGTACTGGAGATTACAGTCATATGGGTATTTTTATGATATTGCTTAAAGTAAAACCGTAGGTGTAAGATCAGTGACCTTTACCCTCATTTGCCTAGATGCACCCAGATATGACCAGTTAAAATTGCCTAACAGAGTTAGCTAGCTAGCCAAGCACCAACCAGAATACATCATTTGAGAAATTCAGTGATAATGTCAAAGAGAAAAGGTGAAAAACCCCAAAAACGTAGACAATTCCTGGCTACATCTGACAGCTACACCTGCTAACACCTATTAATAAGTAACACTGAAGCTGCATCCCCACTTTTAATGATGCATAGCGACATGGCAACAAGAAACTGTTATGGAGGGCTGCAAAAATGTGCGATAGAAGCTCATTGGTGCGGTCCTCCACAACAATCCCAGTTTCTCAACTGGCCACTTGGGAAAATTAATTGCCCATTCCCTGCTTTAGAGGGTTACCTAGACAACCAGAGCTTGGAATGCTGCAAACAACAAGCCATCACTGCAAAGTGCAATGAGTGAATGGTTTCCAGTGTAAATAAATAGGAACTGAAAGATTACAAAACTGTGACAAACTAATCATTGGTTGTTTATGTGTTAGTTAGGCAGGAGCACCTTCTATTGGTAGATTATGAGGACAAGAACCTTCAAAACAAGGCAGACATGCTCAGATTAAGGTAGGTTGGTGTGGTCTGCCAATTTGCGGTAAAATATTGCATGATGAATACTGATAAGGGAAGGAAAATATGACTTGCACCATTGTGAACAACACTATAATAGCTGTAGTATTAAAACAACAACAGGTACTACATTGTTAAGAGTGAGAAGTCTATTAGTTCTTGTTGGTGCCACCCCACCAAATTACAACAAACTGTGACACCAGATAAGCTGTTGACCAGTTGACCAGCTTTCAGTACTTTTGTAGTTTATACCCAAATATCTGCTGTTTACAGTTCAGTTTCCTGTCTTACACATGAGCCTCGTCTTACTGGACTGACTAGTTTTTGGTTGTTTTTGTTAAGTTAGTGCTGGGGTAATCTAAACAACTAAACATTTCCTGCTGTTAACAGCATCACACTTCAAAAGTTTCATTATTAAACCAGCAGGACATTTTTATTGTCTGCATGTCAGAGGAATTACAATGTGTTTATCACAGAGAGAGGCGAGCTATAATAGCCATCCAGGTAGACTGCTTTACCTTTTGTATGCGCTGTAGTAGAAAGTCATCACGCCAGTTTAATTCAATGGAAAAAGACATGAATGAATGAAAATAGCAAATGTATCAGAGAGGCGGTTTTTACCTGCTGGCTGGGGGGTGTGGCCTGAGGGGTCTGCCCAGTTGGAGGGGCATGTCCTCCGCTGCTCAGCACCACGGGCATGCTGGGAGAAGTACTTCTATGGTGGGGGCTGAATGAATCCTGCCAGAGCACTGCTTTCCTCTTCAACACACACACACTGCTCATTCCACCACAGCCTGTCCGGAGTGAGTGAAATGCATCAGTCACAGAAAACATAACAGTTCAACATAGTAAAAGTTTGGAGCACTCTGACCAATTTAACACCGAATCTTATGATGAACGGTGAAGATCCAACAGCCGCGAAGCACAAGTGTCAAATTATGAATAAAAACGCTGCAGTCCAATAACCAACTTCGCTGCAATAAAATAATTATTGAGATTTGATGTTTATTCATTTGTGGGCTGTAAATTAAAAGCTCATCTGCTCCTAAATGAGAAGAAAGGGAAAAAACACACTGCAACACAATGCAGCATAATTAATCAGCACAACAATCTAAAGCATGAATCCATGCATCTCTACAAAAACAACAACAACAAAGCTGACTTTTGCCAGGGTGGATGTACTGCAGGGTTGTATAATACATGCTCCTCTAAAAACAACTCAGAATAATAAAGCTGATATCCCACTATATTATCTTCATACCTAACATTTTCCCATGTCATCATGCCAGCTTGATGCCAAATTAGTTCACAGCAATTAAACTGCTGTGAACAATGACCCCTAACTCAGAAACGAGGTGGCTGGAAGCATATGAAGCAAAATGAACCAAATCATTTGTCTGTAATATTACGGTTCCCCCAGAGTTGTGGTCAAAGGTCAGGCTCAGTGCCACTATCCTGTAAACCAATTAATATAGATACCAAACTACACTTTATATTCTGACTACACTCCAGTGTACTGTAGTACTTGCTTTATGTTATTTATTTTCTGTGCTTATTATTTTGTATTTTAATTTTGTTTTTACTTGTGTGAAGGGAACCTGCAAAGTCAGAATTTCATTGTTCAGTGTAACCACTTTGTTTTGCAGTATTAATGACATAAACGTCTTGATTAAGGCACAAATGAGAAAACAAAGGAAATTGAGCCAAAATTCATTCATTTTCCAGTAGGGCAGCCCTCACATGTTTGACAACAAACCAGAGATGCAAAAATATTTAAACAAATATTGTTTACTTTCTGCACCAGGTGACAGTTAACGCTGTTTTATGCAACTGCAATACAATAACAAAAACTAGCTTCACGCGAGCTAAAAGCAAACTTTAAATCTATCAGTGTGCACAGGTTATATATTAGAATCACAATTCAAAAGCACTACAATGTACCTAAAAAATAAAATTTTAACCTAACTAAAACAGTCAAACCTTCAAACCATCTTTGGACTTTATTCTTTGTGAAGAAAGGTCAAAGAATATCACACACAATGCTGCAATACTGCTTACCAGACTGTTGGTATAACACTCTTACGACAAAATGGTGAACTGTTATTAAAGCTGCCTAACTGCTGAGGATCAGCACAAGAGCACTGGGATCAACAGATACAGAAGTAAACCAGAGAACATTTTACAAGCCAGCCCAGGGCAGCAGCTGATTTAACTGCCAACCTGCCTATCGGCAGCAGAATGTAAACTTTACTGCACCCTCTGTATCTGGCTGATGCAAACACGCTGCTATGAACTCCAGTAACAAAGGTTCACTTGGCAGGAATGTTGTGAAACTTCTACAAATTACTCACCCCTAAAAAGGTATTTAGACACACACACAGAGTGGCCTGCATATTCTGCAGAGTCACTGATGAGTTACTTCCTGACCAGTTCAAGGTGTTTCACAGCAGTGTGGCTTCCAAGGAGCCACATTGTCTTAAAGCTGTTTTTAACTGGTCTTTATCAAAGTTCTGCAGGTTGTCTTGAGTTTTTCACTCATTTTCTGTCCTTGCACCTGGCCATTTTCAGAGGAACACTTTTTTTCTTTGTTCGTTAAGCCCCTTAGCACTGACCTATGAATCATTCAAGCAGAAAAAAAATACCTAACTCAAGGGATGAACCAGTGTTGTGTTTATGCATAACAGACAACTTATCAAAGAACCAACTTTAAATGCAACATTAGGCACTGTTACTAGCAGCCTGTCGCAAAACACATCTTTTGTTCACATTACTTGAATCTGTATGAAGGAGGAAGCATTCCTGAAAACTATGGCATAGATTTCTCATTTTCCTAGTTAAGCATAAAGAAATAAGGAGGGGCTTAAAACTTTTGCACAGTACTGCACAGTACTGCACGTGCAGAACTGTTTGTTTACAGGCATGGCTTTCAGGGGGTAAATCAGTCCTGCAATACATCCCCCATTTATGAATATCATAATGTTTAGTTTTTTGATGAAAATGTTAGCTGGTATCTAATCATTCAACAGTTTCCATGACAGTATAGATCAGATGTATTATAAACTACAGAATTAATGGCCATAAACTTTGATCCGAGGCTCTCTGTAACAATATCCCTGTTATTGTATTGGAATGCACAAGTCTTTGCTAGATTTACCTCTCAAACCTGCAGTGCATTTAGTGCATTGTGTAAAAGGAACAATTTAAAATAGTAACTATGCACATTGGTGTGAGAATTAGAGGATTTATTTAGCCATGTAACAGAGACAAAGATGTGGTGCTTATTTTTTAAGAAGTTGTTTTGTTAACCCAGGTAAAGAGTGAAGGACAGATTATCTTTAAAATGTGCGGTGTGGACCTAAAGGCCAAGCATTTGGTGGTCAACAATTTTACACAACAGCCCCTGATCTCCAGCAATGAGAGAAGGGTGTAATTTGTATTTGACTCTTACCTCTAATCTCTGTTAAAATGAGCAGCTTCCCATTAATGTCCCCACAGGCTAGAAAGAAATTACAAGCACTTCTTTTTGCACTGAGCCATATACGGTAATTACCTTTGCAAGAGACTGGCAGACACTATGAATCAAACACATGCAAGCTACCAACGTCTGCTGTAACCACTGTGCAACACACCCCCTCTACAAAGACAAAACCACAAGCTGACCGGATGAAGACCCCCCTCCCATAATAAGATAAAAACAAATCGACCGACTGATCATCCCTCCTCCACTCTTGGACAGGCCACAAGGAAATGTTAGCTCTTTATCCCTCTGCTACTGCTCCGAAACCAGCCAGAGAAACACCCGGAAATCCAGCACAGTGCGGCCATTCCCCGCCGAGAAGCGCACACGGCTCGGTCTGCCACAAGTTTGATGCGAGGACCCGGAAACAGGCGGCGGTGTTCACGGTCTAACTGGGTTAATCATTCAATACCGGGGGATCAATCCACCGCATACCGGGCACAGACAGGGGTGTGACAATACGAGAGGGGCAGCATGCAAGCTAGCAAGGGGGGATAACGCTGGAGCAACATTTCTCTCCCGGCAGACATGACACATCAAAACGAAACCGAGTATGGGGATGCTTCGTGAAATAATTCACGGCAGCTACCTTTATGCATCCGCGTCCCGTCACGCCAGCCCCGGAGCTGCCGTGGGGGGGGGTTCACTATGTGTCTACCAACAATAACACGGCCTCCCGACACAAGCTCAGCCCGGGCGAACCGGTGGACAAACGCGCAGTGTTTTTAACCGCTCCCCACCACCGTAGTGTGGTTATTAATAAATAACCAGAGGACTACACCTGTCCGCCGAGCCTGCAGCCCCACGGGTCCCGGTGACGCGGATGCTAACAAAGGCCCGAGAGCTGTCTGGAGCGGAAGACCGACACAACGGGAGGAAGGAGGCAGGCAGCAGAAAGGGAGGCAGCCGCTTCAGCCTCGCAAAATATTCTCGTTTAGCGCCCTTTCAGAGCCGCAGTAACGACAATACCCGCACCGAAGCGTGCATAAACACCCCCCTGAGCAACCGCGACCGCTAACGACTCGATACTCACCGGCGGAGAGGGTGGATGGTCGCGGATTTCAGCCCCAGTTTCTCTCTAACACCCCAGGCTTTCACTCCGACAACATGGCGGCTCGACGGAGGAGCAGGCAAGAGCGCTGCATGACGGGAAGGGATGAGAGAGAGCGTACGGTTCACTGCGCCAACCGGGAGGGGAGGGAAGGAGGGTCACACCGGACCGGTCCCTTTGTTATGCATGTTTGTAGTCTGCTTGCACTGCGGGGCGTGTTTATTATTGTTTTACCTGCACCTCATTCACCTGTCTGTTAGCTAAAGGCGAAAAAAGTAAATGCTTTAACAGACGGCAGCTTCTCTGTTCATCTTGTATCTCAAATAGAATACGTCACTAATTAAATTAAATTATATTGCAATGTTACAATAAAAACTTTATATGTGTGTTTAAATTTAAAAAAGATGTAAACATTTTTCAATATATATTTATGGTGCTATCTTCCGCTGCTACAGCCTTCCTTTACTGTGGGCTATACAATGCGCCGGGGTCTCCACGGTAACGGGGTGCGCCACAAGGCCAGCCAGTGCGTGGCTCCCGGACGCTCCGTTACACCTCCGGAATGTGGGCAGACGGCGTGAAAAGGGGGCAGTGAGCGGCCCACATTACAAAAATAACCCAGTGGTCCTTTGGAAATGTGCCAGTGGCGACACCGTGACTGCAGACCGGAGAGAACGCCGTCCGCACGCACCCGCGCGCGGATGACGTCATGGGTACAGTAGATAATGGCTACCCTTATAGAAAATGTATTGGGGATCATATGGGGCATTTGTAGGACTCCTCCGGCCCAGTAATCCCGGATTAAATAGCCATAAGTATATAATTAGCGCCACTTGTTATTTTTAGACGCACAAAGTTAAAATAAGATTACCCCCCTCTTTGTCATTTACAATGTTTGAAATTATACCTCTAAGTCTCTATCATATGAGTTCCACTCAGGAACATGGTCAAGTTGTTCTGTATTGTCTTCTTTTTTAATATACTAAAAGTAATCATGATACTTAAATCACAATATAGTAATACACACTTTCAGACACAGCTGCTAATCTTTCTATGAAATTGCTGTTATTTTATTTTGAAATTCAACTTAATTACTTGAAATACACTAAACAGCCATTTTTATTAGATACACTTAGCCACCACAAGGTTGAACCCCCTTTATGCCTACAGAGTTTTCTAAATTTTTCTTGGTATACATTCAACCAGCTGCTGGAAACGTTCCTCAGAAATTTTGCTCCATATTGACGTGACAGCATTGTGTACTGGGAACCTCCTGTTCTACCACATCCCAAAGGTTCTCTTTTGGATTGAGATCTGGTGACACTGGAGGTCATTTGAGTACAATTAACTTATTGTCTTGATCAAAAAATGTTTGAAATGATTTGAGTTTTGGACATGCCATCAGAAGATGGATACACTGTTATTATAAAGATCAGCAATAATACTCAGATAGGCTCTGGCATTTGAACAAAGTCGGTATTATGGGGCTCAAAGTGTGCCAAAAAATCTTCCTGAACCGTCAACGCACGGATGGGTCCATGCTTTCATGTTGCTTACACCAAATCCTACCCCTACCATTCAAATGCTGCAGCAGAAATGGAGTCATCAGACCAGACCATATTTTTCTAGTCTTCTATTGTCCAGTTCTGGTGAACTCATGCAAATTGTACATTCAGTTTCCTGTTCTTAGCTGACAGGACCTGGTGTGGTCTTCTGCTTCTGCAGCCCATCTGCTTCAGAGATGCTCTTCTGCATACCTGTTGTAACGACTATTTATTTGAGTTTCTGTAGCACTCTGGCCATTCTCCTCTGACAGTTGACATCAACAGGGCATTTTCACCCAGAGAACTGCGGCTCACTGTGGATTTACTCTTTTCCAGACCATTCTCTCTAAACCGTGGAGGTGGTGGTGGAGTGGATCAACAGTTTCTGAAATACTTCAACAACCATACCTCGTTCAAAGTCACTAAAGTTATCTTTCTTCCCCATTCGTTTAAATATCACCACTTAATCTTTACTCTATCTACATGCTTAAATTCACTGGGTTGCTGCCATGTGATTGGGTGACTAGATAACCATATTTTTCCAGTCTTCTGTTGTCCAGACATGTGACTAGATAACAAACTTTTGAACATGTGTACCTAATAAAGTATGAAGTAAAAAAATTCTAATACATTAAAGGTGAGTAATACACATTTTTAGAGGTTTAAAAAGTATATAAGTAATGAAAATTTACGGTGACTGTATTTTCAAATTTAACTGTCTGTTTAGAGTTCATGTTTTAAAAAAATGAAATTAAAGTGATTTTATTTTGAAATTCACACATCAGCTTCATTAATGGATCCCAGTTCAGCAGCGGAGGCATAAAATAAGTCAACTCACATGTACCGTTACTATTATAATGTCACTTTGAGACAATGTTTTGACAGTCAAATCCTCGCTGCAGAACATCAGCCCAGCTGGGTGCATCATTTGGATAACGCTCCTGACTAATCCGCCAAACAATTCAGTGCCTTATAATCCCAATATTATTACAATGTAATCAAAGGATGGAAAGCACTCAATTTATTAAACCCTCCTGGGTGAGACAAATGAGTCTGCACACACACACACAAGCAAACACGCAGAGACAACAAGAGCCACATTTCATGTAGAAAGTGTAGTTTTATTATTTCAAACTTCTCCTTAACACCCGTGAAGGTTTTCACCTCATACCTGTCTCCCTCCTTCCCTTTTCCTTTCTCCAGTTACATCTACAAAAACTACTCATTACTGTGTATGGTACATTTTCCTCCTCAGTCGCCATGCTCTGGAAATCAGCGAATGAGCTGCAGGAGTGGACGTAGCTCGTGAGATGACGATGGTGGGGAATATTAGCTGCAGATGGGCTTAAAAGAAGGCAGCGTGAGGATGTAAGCAAAACGAGAGGACGAGGGAAACGGGTACTAAGAAAACAAGTCTGGACGTGTAACCCTCTCCTCCCACCGAGTCCCACCCACCTGCCCCCACCCCTTTTTGTTTGTTTTTTCTTTCCCTAAATGGAGCCAACAATAACAATCATTGGCTGGTTATTTACATGCCCAGTGTCCCCCCCGTTACCACCCCATAGACACACTAATGCCTGATCCCAAAGCCATCTGCTGATCAACAGTGTTACATGTTACAATATGTTGAATAGATTTTCCTGACAATCACTTTTACTTGATTTCAGAAGCAAGCCAAACCTATAATTTAAAAAAGACAAGGCTGGTGATATTCCATGGTAAAACAAAAACAGCAACGAAATCAGCCTTTTGATAAATATTTTCCATGTTGTGAAAGCCCTCTTGTACAAAACTATTGAAAACCCCATCAGTCAGCCACGCCGTTGCACCAAATTGCACCCCTTTGTCACAACAAAGCTGGGCACTGTAGTTTATTTTAAACACGCACCTCTCCCTCACTGTAAATACTACCTGGACATAAAAATAGTTTCCACAAACGTGCTCTTTATTGCTAAAGAAACTACAGCGTGCAGCTGTTGTAGGAAAGTACAGTAAAACAAATCAGTGCTGGGCGCTACAGGGAAGCTACTGAAAGATGGATGTTTTTTGGTCTTTTCATGTTTTGCCTTGTATTTACCGTAATAATAAACAAGTGAAATATCACCTGCCTTATCTTTTAAGGAATTCACGCCTTTCTATGCGTCCTGGGACCTCAGCAGTGGCTTCGGCTGGAAGGTGAAAGCAGGGAAGGAGGAAGGGGGAGATGGCTTTGGGAGCGGGAATCGTAATCGACTGCTCTACACATCACCACGTTCTAAAAACAACAACAGGTACGAGCCGTGCCTCTTTTTTATTAGGTGACCCCCCCCCCCCCCCCCCCCCCCCAACCCACCCACCCACATCGACGAGCCCAACCCCACCCACCCCCCAAACAAAACAAAACAAAACAAAACAAAGCAAGAACAAAAACAAAAAGAAATCACAGGGGCACCAAGTGGTAAGAGTCCAGGGTGCAACTGCAAAGCACCAGCTAGTCCTGTGGAATTACACAATCACACACACACACACACACACACAGCAGTGGGAGTGTTGAGAGCTGGCAGTTTAGTGAACTGTCCCCTCGGTGAGGCCAGCTCTTGTTCTATGAATCTCTTCTCCCCTCGCCTTCCTCCCGCGTCGCCTTCCTCTCGTCACGCCGCCCGGCATGCTGGTTCTTCCCTGAGCTCTGTACATTCTTTTCAGGGCCATATTTCACTTTCTCAGACACACACACACACAGTCACACACACTCACACGCCTCTCCGTCTGGGTGGGGTTAAGTCCATTTCTCAGGTAAACTGTGACAGAGTGAGTCCATCCACAGTGACACCATCAGGGTTTGGCCTGAAGGGGGTGCTACCAACAGTTAACCAGCCCTGCAGGGGTGCAGAGAGGATGACATAAGTTAAAATTACAATATGCTGCACTTTGACATAACTGCATGAAAAAAGGCACTTCACTGATTTTACTCATGAAGTTGAATTTCGTGTCATTAAACTGCTCTGCCAAAAAACCAGTCCTGTAATTTTCAAAGGCAGGTTTTCATGCTTTAACGCAAAAACTGTTATGGTTATGAAATGTCTAACATTTTTTGAGATTGATACAAATGTATGGAGTTAAATTAGCCTCAAAAGGATTACAAACTAATACTTACAAGGATAAAAAAATACTGATCATTCCTGCACAAATGTTTACGTTCAAGGACACAAATCTGATCATTTTTACTTTCAAAAAGCTGCTACTTTCAGCTGCTCCCTTATTCACAAGGGGTCGCCACAGTGAGCCGCTCTGCATGTTTGATTTGGCAGATTTTTTATTTTTTTTTGCACCAGATTAACACATTCACTTGGCAAGCGAAAGGTCACTGGTTCGATTCCAGGTGGAGACACAAATCCCCTTTGGGTTTGTATCAGGAAGGTCATCCGGTGTAAAACTCTACCAGCCTAGGCGAGTAGCCCAAAGAAGCCCTTCTTGACACAACCCCAAAGGAACAGTATCCTCCCGGATCAAACCGGGGATCTTTCCCTCATTAGGCGACAATGAAAACCTTCTTTTAGCTCACTTAAGAGCTTTGCCTGATACGGAGAGATCTCGTGATGTGTGCACTTGTTTATTTGGAGCATTTTTCACATTTGCAGCTTTGAACGGTTTCTCAAGCTGCGTTC